TCTTGCCCCCCAAGCCCCAACCCCATATTATCTTTCTTTTTTCTTATAGATTTTAGCTTATCTTGCTTGGTGTAAGCTTCCTTTTTCAGCTCTACTTTATCTTTGTTTGTATCCCAATTTTTTTATTTTTTTTTTCTTTTGTTGTAAAGAATAAACTGTGCATGTGATTGGAGAATAATAAGTAATTTTTGCTATGGCTTATAAGTTATTACATTCTGGTATTTGATCCATGTAAGAATGTCTTTATTCTGTTTTTTTGTTTGCTTTAGCATGAATTTCACCACTTTTTGCAACACTTGGATTGTGACTTGTAAGTGTGTTTGGGAATTTGAGATGTGTTGTGAATTGTGATGCCCTTTTTTTTTTAAATAAAAATAAAAATTAAAAAAAAATTGCAGGCCTCAGTACAGTTTAGGTCCCAAACCAGAGATCTTGGTATGATAATGAGAGAGGTAGATGAAGATCTAGCTATTTTCTTGGGGATACGAAGTGCGGTGGATAGAAATGACCATCCTGCCCCTGTCAAATCTGTTGATGAATTTAACAAATCAAAAGGTAGATGAAGATGTAGTTATTATTGTCTCAGCATATTTGTAAGAACTCAGTGCAATGCTGTTGTATTGTATGTTTACTTATCCTTTTTTACTCTGCCTTTTTTCTTTTTTCGAATTCTAATAAAATGCGGTTATGATTCATATGGACTTGTGTATATGTATGTATGGTCTTAATCTTGCAGACTTGCAGCCAAAACCGAATTGCTCGTTGCCCGTGAACGCTACTCAAGAACATATTGTCCCGAATGCGGCTGAGGATAGTTTGCTTGACTTCGAGACTGAAGAAAACGATTGCAATCGGTAAAGTTCATAGGGATGTAACTTATCTTTCTGCTTTTAATAGTTTGTGTGAGATGTGCTCTTTGTGACTTGGTCTATCAGTCTATGTGATTGATATATTGTTATGAACTTGATAGTGATTGTTTTATTGAATAGTTTGAAAGTAAATTATCGACTGCCTTTAACTGCTCGGACGAGCATTTTCACCTCTTTTTGTCTGAAAACTTTTGTTTTAATTCCACCGTCTCAGGCAATCCGATTCCTCTTCACTTCATCCGGTAGATTCAAACGGGCCCGATTATACACTCAATGGCTCTAAAACTCCCAAGGGTGACTCGATTTCAATGAAATCCGAGGCAAGTAGCAATTTAAAAAAAAAAATAAATCTTTAAATTCGACATAGTTTGCTCCAAGATTGCACAAAGTTAATATATATCTGAAAATAGTTCTATCTTATATATCACCAACAGGTAGAAAACTTTTCTGAAGAATCCAATCCCCCGAGCGACAGCCCACCGTACCAAAACCAATCACAAATGACCACAAATCCATCCTTTGGGCCCAACAAAAGGCCTTCATCCTCATCATCATTCGGGCCCCACCGCAAACCCTCTCCAAGACCCTCGACTCCCACATCTCGCCCGACCCTTCCTACAAAATCGAGACCCTCACGACCCACATTGTCTTTTCCCTCCAAACCAAGCTCAAGATCCTCAACTCCCTCGAGGCCCGTATCACGCTCTTCCACTCCTAATTCCTCAAGGCCCGGTCCGCGAACCTCCACGCCCACTCGTGGCAAACCGGGCCCCACCTCCACAATCTCCAAAGCTGTGGGACCCACAAGGCCGTCCTCTGCATCTAGAGGAAGGGTGAGTAGGCCCGAAGAGAAGCCCAATAAACGGCAACAAAAATCGTGCTCGCCTCCGAAAATGCGGGCCCAAATTGCGGCTGGGCGTCAGAGGGCTCGGGTGGGAACTAACGATGGAGATGAAGTGAACCCGGTTTTGATGGGCACGAAGATGGTGGATAGGGTCGTGAACATGAGGAAGCTCGTCCCACCTATACAAGACGAGAGCCTTTCTCGCGATAATTACGGTTCGAGAAAACCGGGTTTGGAGAATTCGGGTTTCGGGAGGTCGCTCTCGAAGAAGTCGTTGGAAATGGCCATACGGCATATGGTATAGTGTACTATAGTTTACTTACTCTTGAGCTTATTTTCGGGGGAGAAAAGAAAAACAAATAGACAAACAAACGAACAGACGAGCATCAACTAGATATTTTATCGTAAGTTTTGAAAGATTGTTGGCTAACAAGTTTCTGTTTCTAACAGGACATTAGAAGAAGCATGTGCGAAAACTAGTTATGCCCCGAGAAAATAGACACAGCTGGCATTCGAGAATATTGACTTTTGTCGAGCTGAAATGAACTTTCGAGTAGAGTTAAACGCTTGTTGACTCTCGAAGATGTTCGAAAGTAACATGGTTTACGGAGTACACGCGTGAGCTCTAGTGTATCGAATATCTACATATAACATATTGCATTTGGATACATACGTTATTTTTTTTTAAAGATGATCCTTTTGCAATATTAGCGTGTTTTTGCAGATGTACTTTTGCAGTTTGTAGTTTGTTTATGATGAGACTGCGTATAAGTTATAGTTTATGCAGAATTCGAGTGGTTTTTGTGTGTTGAAGTATTCTAATATTCTTATTTTCACATTTTCAGCGGGAGTCACAATATTACGGATAAATGGG